AAGTAAATGTTGAAGGTGTTACGCAAATACTTGTCAATGTCATGCATTCTAAATAGCTTTCAATACTTGTAATTAGGCATGCCAATGTAGACTATTTTAAGACTTGTGCAAAAAGTCTTAACTCTAAATCCAAAATTTAGATCCTTGAAATATGCCATATCACTCGCTAATGTGAGTCCTATGAGTGATATGTCTTCTGAACTTGCAGCTGTCGTGTCAAGATCAACTAGATCGCTCTGACAAAGGGCTAACGCTTGAAACGTCAGCTTCTAACTCTACGATGGCCAATTTACAATTTCAACTTAGTTGAAATAACCAAATTACCTAGCAAAACAAGGGTTGTTAGCCAAGGTCGATAAAAAAATGAGTCCTTTATTTTGCTCTGTTTGCTTCTCTCTGAGGTCATCAGAAAAAAAAAATACACTACTGTGACTAACTCTGGTGTACACAACAACTTCATTTGGGTTTTTGTAAGTAGTTCACAATATCTTGATATTGAACATTCGGAGGGAGCTCGATGTTTTCAGAGAAATCACTTTTTCTCAATGCATATCGGTCGAAGCCTTAAACAGTTATTTTTCGTGGTACTTTGACTTCATTGGACCCTCTAGACCCGCAAAATAATCTAAATACTGAAGGTTCACATCGGGCACACCTTCAGAAGAAGCCGTTTTAAAAGCTTAGTTATCCCCCAACATGGCGGCTGCGTATGACATTGCGAATTTTTGTCACGTTGTTGAAAACAAAGAATAGCCAGGCTTGTTATGGTTTATACTTAGCATTGTTACCTTAATGCCACCCATTAGGCAATACTGAATTTCTTTGATTGTTTACAATCTGATGTAAAATGAGGACTGTGGGAACATTTAAAGTTTGTTGGCTGATTGATTAAATTCAATTACTCCTATGTTATCATTGGTACCTGAATCAATCAGCAACATGTTTGCAGATGAGCATAATCCTATGCTTTTCTGACCAAAAGATAACTTGTTAATTCACTGCTACATAAAATGAGTCCTGAGTTACATTCTTGCATATTTAAGATTTTTGCAGATGATGGCTTTTCTCAACACTGCATATTATTATTTGGGTTCTAATAATTTTCAGCATATAGCATTATCTGATGTGAATATTACTAATGGTTTCTTTGTTCAGAAACATTTATTAAATGGACTGCAAGGTAATATAAAAATAACAGTAAAGCAATTTAGGGGCTGTTCTTTAATGGTTACCCACTTTCTGGGGCTGCTGCAGTTTTCTCCAGAGAGTAACAGTATTGAAAGTTTTATTCTATTAATTCCCTTTATATAGCATTGGCAATAATTCACTTGTGAATGTGCATTTCTAATTACTGATTTTAGAAATGGAAGATTTAAGAGAAACAACAAATTTTCAAGATAACAACAAGGTGGCCACATATGGCTCAAGGAGAACCCCAAGAGAACACATTGATACTTCTCAGGTAACATAATGATAAAGGAGCAGGTTGTAATCTGAACCTGTTTGTATTTCTCCTTTCTAATTGCAAATAATTTCCTTTGTGCTTAAATAAGAGAATTTGGTGTTGTAACCAGGTAACAGCCCAATAGTATTTACATATTAATTGCCTGTGAGACTTTAGGTTTACGTAATAGTTTTCTGCATTTCTTAGCTTTACAGCTTCTTAGCTGACAGGGGAGAGGTGCTGTAATTGCGTAAATTTGTGGGACAGTAGCAGTGTAGATGTCTATATATTTTGGGATTTAATATTTTCAGGAACCATCAAATATTTTTGCCTGCACAGATTGGTCCAAACACATTTTGTAACCAAATAATTATACCCTTTCTAGATCTGGAGAATATCTGATGTTAGCACAGATCTACTGGGCCAGGCATCATATCACAAAAGGTGTCATCTGATTAGCTCTCTTTTTTCTATCTAGGCAGTAATAGATCGTGGGTAAAGTGAGATACTTAACTGCATGTGCACACATATGAAGAATTTGAACCTTGCTGGGGTGGGGTGGGGAATTTGAACCAGGACTGCCAAGTCTTTCCATGGGAATACGTGTGTTTTATCTTTTAATACAGAGGTGTTCAAAGCTGAAGAGTTCACTTCCACATGCAGATGGCTTAGAATAAAAGAACTACCATAAAGTCGTGGTCTCTGATCTTGCCCTGTGTGAAAAAATTGACCATCAAATCCAGCAATTGGGTTGGGCATTTGAACACAATTCTGGCACATGTGTGGCATGAATTTGAACAAACCAATTTTCAAACGTTTAAATGTCTGGGGGATTGTTTAGGAGGGGGGGCGGGGGTTGGCTTTGAATTAAACTGACAAGCTCAGATATTTTTCTTAATCCAGACATTATGTAAAAAGTAAACAATTTTCTAGGATCTTATTTCCACAGACATTTAATGTATAAATTATTGTTGATAAAAGTCACTTAGAGAACTTTTGTCACCCTTAATCGTTTATCATAAGAAACAATTACAGCGATGACAAAATGTGGACTTTTGACATATTCTGTTTTCAGTGCCAGTGGCGATGGAGGTAATGGCAGAGTACAACAAGCAAGTAGGAGTGAATATGAGGGTATTTATTTGTTTCTTATATATTTAATTATATTAGGAACAATTATTATGTAACTTTACTCAGACACAACATGCACTGCGATCAGTAAAAAATCCGTTGTATATTTGCTTGTATACCCATAAAAAACTGAAAAATCTTCCCGTCCTGTCAAATGGTGCCACAAAGGGCAAATTCACAGATTTTAATTTGTGAAAGGCTTTTGTTGTATCTTAGGCTCTCTAAGCATGTGCCCTTCTCAAAATTAGGTTGTCTGATAGAGTTCTTTCTCATTATTGTCAGGAATTTCTTGACTCCTTTTCATCAAGGCTCCCCTTTTGACACACAATTTATTTCCTCCATCTCTGCATCACACTCAGATTAGAAGCTTTGAATGCTTTGGAGTCTGATAGTCACTTTCTGAGTTTGAGACTCAAGATGAAATGGCTCTCTTTAGTTACTTCATGTAAGGCCCTCAGACCCCGTCCACACAAAGACAATTGTAAATGCAAATGCTAGTAAATGCAAACTTTTTTATGCATTTAGGCCTTTCGTCCACACGAAGATGATGAAAACACTCACCGTAAACGCATAAATTCGAAAACGCTCTCCAAAGTGGATAAATTTGAAAACGCCATTTATGCGTCTTCGTGTGGACAGCCTTAAACGTATATTTTCGTAAACGCTGTGAAAACGCTGACGTCAGATGTCAGCGCCAGTCTCTTTTATCGAGTGCGTTTCCAACATGGCGTACACACGAGTGTTGAGCTGTGTCGTGCTTGCGCTTATTTCAATTATAATTGCGAGCATTCAATTGAATCATGCAATAATCGATATACAGGAAAACTACAAAAGAAGAAGACTAAACCTCTCAAGATTGTTATCCACAACTACAAGCACTTTCACTCGAGTAAAACGACTTAGATGCAGACGTGAGAGCAAATAGAGAAGATTCTGGACCAGACCAGGTCGACACTTTTCTTCTCTCTCGATCACGACAAACGCAGGTGGTGACTTTACAACATGGACGCTAACACTTGATAAAAAGGCGCTGAAGCAAAGATTGTAGGCTCAAATCGATTGCGCATGCGCGTTCGATGTATGACATCATTTAATGCGTTTACGAGCGTTTTCGTGTGGACGGGTGAAAACGCTACATAAATGATGATCGTTTTCGTGTGGACGGAGATAAAAATATGCGTTTACTAGTGTTTGCGTTTACAATCGTCTTCATGTGGACGGGGCCTCAGTGTTTAAAGAAATGGAAATTCCCACCAGGATTTCTCATTTTGGCCACCTATCTTTAAGTTTTGCAGCCCTGGAATGACACAGCAACCTTCCGAAACCCAGGTCTCAAGAGTTTGTTTTGGTCAATAGGCTATTTGTTTTAGATTTTTATTGCAGCTGTCTTCTCAAAAGTTTTAAATTGTGAGTAAAATAACTTCCAAACAAATGCATTGACAAACAACTGGTTCGCATGTTAGCTGCGCATTCATGGAGAAATCAATTACTTTGGAAGTTTTGAGAGCTTTTGAGAAGCTAGAGTTGCATGCTCTCAGCTGCTCCTCAAGCTCCTCCTTGTGCTCTTCAAAAATTCAGCATGCTTCATTACCCCATAAATGCATCGTAATGTATTAACTAATTTATTGTTAATTAGCAGACGAGGAATACACATCTTTGAACCACAGCCAACTGCCTTATTTACCATAGGAAATTGTCCCTTGAAATTTTGGAATTCTCACGATCTTTTCCTGCTATGGGATATTTAATTGTGCAGATCGTATAATAGAATTTTAACATGTTACCTTTTAGTTCATCGGTCACCAAAGCCATCCACTGGTGATGACTTGTCTTTGAAAGAAGATGATGTGTCACAGGTACAAAGTTGTGTGGTAAGAGTGAATATTACAACCTTTCCGATTGTTATCTTAATACTCAGTTGAGGGGATAATTTGGGTTTGTTGTATTTTATTAATTGTTAAACATATTTTCACAGGGACGTAGGAAATTGAGGCTGAATTCCTGGCCTCCTTTAGATTCCTCCCCTTTTAACATTTTCCATCCAAAAAACTAGTTAAGTGTCTAAAGGTTACTTTTGACCATACATACCCAGGTGTCTCCTACACCACAGGAAGGGAGAGGGGAGAAGAGAGGTCATGTCTTTCAAGATTTCTGGTAAGCATCATTTGGATTTTACATACTCTGAAGGGCCACAGTTTGTCATTTATTATTAATTAAGTTCTAGTCACTAAACACTGTGAACTCCATTAGTGTACAATCCACTATTTGTCTGTTTTAAGTGTTGGAAATATTTTATATTTTCATTTAATTGTAATTAAGCTAATTTGATTGAAAAGAAAGTCATATTGGTTGCTTACAAGTACTCAGGTGACATAAAAGTGATAGTAAGGAATCAACTGAGCTAATTGAGGAAGAGCCTAAAATTTATGTAGTAAGGGAGGCCGTAGTCCTTAGATTGAAATCCTGTCATGTTCACATTTATCCACACAAACATGACTACTTTGTAGCTTGTAAATAAGCTTTAATCAAGATGGGCAGTTTTTCAGGCTAGTGACACCCACCCTCACAGAAAACATGCAAAAAGCCAATTTGGTCAGACCAAACAAACAAACAAACAATCAAAATGAAGAACAATTTGGTCAGTTTTAAATAAAGCAGTGCACAGTCAAAGTGTAATCCAAACAAGGCCAAGCCAGTGCAATTAAAACCTGAAGTCATTTCACTGATACTTTTTGAATACTAACTTTCTATTGCAGGCTTACTCAATGTACTGGTCTTTACAATATATATATTTTTCAAATTTTTCAGGAAAAAACCTTCTTTGGCAGAAGTGCCAGAAGAAGGCTCCTTTCATAGTTCAGGTGTGGTATAACTAAGAACTAACATCTCAGACAAGGAGAAAAAAATTTTTCTTCATAACAGTGTGACTTTATTCAGTACTATCTTTACTTCTCTTCCCCATATCAACCTTTTGTATGCTGTGTAGTCGAAATCCACAAATCCGAAATTCGCACTTTTACTAGTGATTCGCTAAAAGCCAATATACATAAACAAGTTAAATATACAGAACAGGAAAGCAAAACGAAATACAAATAAAACAGGCAAAATGACGGACAAAATAACGAAACTTTCAAGATTATGTGGCAACTACGACGACTAAAACATAATCACAATGGTGACAAGAAACCCACGGCAGAAGAAACTATACCAAACAATAGAAACAATGCATAAAAAATGAACATGAAAATATGAAATGTGATGTAACCTAAATGACTGGCAAACCTGATATTATAACAAATATACATGGAATAATTGAAAATGGAAAACAATGTACAAAGGACGTGAATGTAAAACAAAGGTGAGGCACCGTGACTACATGCTGTCTACACAGGCTTCTTAAAATTTCACCTAAAGCTTATCATTATTGATAGTGAAGAATGGCACGTTCAAACACTATCATATAAAACACTGCTTTAATGTTTATGCCACGACTACTTTTCCTTCCTTGATTCCTCAGAGGAGCCGAATAAAGTGGTAACATCCCAATCCCTTAAACCCTCCACCAGTGAGGAAGAAACCAACGAAGGGGAAAGTTTGAAAGATAAAACGGTTCCTTATAAGGTTTGATTTAAATTTTGTTATCTCCTCTGATCAGAACATGAAATATTACTTTTTTTGCTAGTGCTATTTCCTTTAAGGGACAATTTTAATGAGACAATATTAAGCTCTAATGAAAAGCTCTAATGAGTCCCCAATGTAAATGGGGTCATTCTAAAGTGTGAGCTGGCAAGGCATACGAGTCATGCAAGTAAAACAAACTTTTTTTAAGTAACTTTTTTTGGATGGAAATACAGTAAAAAAAACATGATTATAGTTTAGTATTGTTTGCTGCTGGAAAGCTTGCAGGTTAACCCTCAGCATGCAAGGTTGGATAATGGCCACCATTGTTTATTGGAAGCGCAAGAGCCTTGGTGAATCAAAATGAACAAATGTTGACTTTCTCTCCCCTCCTCAGATGGATTTTCTCTTGCTTCAATTCTGTGTATCAGGCAACATATTCTTGTCATTCTTTGCTAGTATCCATGTCACTTGTTCTTGTTAAGGCTTTTGTCTTTTTATGCCCTCTTGGGATTTTGCAGCATTGTACAGCATTGATGATGCACGTACATTCATAACTAAGCCTCTTTCTTGTAATGTTGTAGTTCTGTATATTCCCCTAATAACATCATTATAATTCCCCAGTATAAAGAGCACCCCAAACACACTTGCACTCTCCGTTATGTCACCTTTCTTTGTCTACTTTTCTCATCAGCATTGTCTACCATATTAAGGCACATTAAGGGTTATTATGAGAGGAATGTCAATAGAGTGTTTGAAGTATACATAAATGGCTATGCAGGTGGAATATTGACTCCCAGAAAGTAACAGATCCAGGCTGAACTAGGTTCAGTCAATATATGACCACTAAAGAGGAAATTTTCCTTTGAACCTGGTGATGAATCCCACCCAATTTCTCACTCAGGCACGTTTACAGACAGTCTTTTTTGGAATATAACCCTTGTGGGAATGCCAAAAAAAAAAAAAACAACTCATCAAATTTCTCAGCTTGACTCTTTTGCATTTCAAGCACAATGATAACCCAGCTACTCTTACTTTGGTTTGTGGATGCACCTCAAGATCTTTCACTCTGAGTTTGAGTTTACAAGAGTTCCTGCTAGGGGCCATTGGAAAAAGAGTAATGGCTTGGATTGGTTGAATATTGTTTTTCTTTTTTTCTCCTCAGATTCCCCCTTTGCATTGTCCAACCTGTTACAACATGATCAGTTTGGTGTTCCAGAGTTACTCTACACAACCCAGTCCTCTCCTGGACCTCTTGCCTAACGTTGTGTTACAATGGGCTTCAGTTTGCCCAACTTGCGGGGAACCATTTCCAGCCTTGAGGATAAAGGACATACTGGCTCAAAATGATGTCAAAAAGGGTTCTCAAAGGCTAGATGGAAAGGAAGGTACTGATATGGACAGGGATGAAGTTACAATTGGAGAAAGAGATGGAAGAGACGAAGGGGGAGGCAGAGGTGGATCTGATGTTGAAAAAAAACAGGTAACCTTGATATGTTGTTTGCAGTGCAACACAGCTAACATTTCTCTGTCAATATCCCCTGTATCATTAGTGATGTTATCTTTATAGATACACATACTATATAATAATTGAATTATCATTTGTATGTACTACTAACAACATTGTTTTGCCTTACCTGTTTAAACTGTCATTGCATGGTTACTGTTACCTCATCGTCAACATTTGTCTTTCCTGTTGGTCTATCTAGGTCCATATGTGTATACTGGAAATTCAAAAAGAATTTGGTGAGTTTATGTCATTGTTATAAACCATGTATTTACATTAGATTAGGCTATAAAGTCCTTGTTCGTTGATGTGGAAGCATGTTTTAAAGTAGGCTTACTTCCTCTCTCTCCTTCTTGCATATATGATATGTTACAATGCTGGCAAAACCTCCCAGAGCATTGGCAAAAACTCGTGCTAATACTGCTTTCTTTTGACTGTCCTTTTTTTCTTACTTATAGCTCAGTATCTAGATGACCTTCCTAGTGGAGCTTTGTGCTAGCAAAGCCTTCATATGGATCAGGACACATTTTATAAAAATCCACTAATTGTCTGTAAACATAAATGATAGATCAAACAACAATAAACATATGAAACATATGTATGAACTGCGGTTATGAAACGTATATATGCACGATCCTTCGCAGTAAAGCACTATTTGAGCAATAGTCGCTCTCCGGCGGGTGTTGTACCGAGGTAGCCACCTATTTCAAATCTTATTGAAAGCACTGATCGTATCGTTCCATAGCAAAAGTTATCGAAAAATACTTACATATTTCAATATCTTCGGACAAAAAATGCTTTTCGAAAGTGTAGAGTTTGTCTTCATCTATCTGTCTTTTAAAATCTTTATCCATTTCCCTTGTTTTCTTGAGTACACCAAGCCACTCGTTGCGCCATCTCTTGTGATTTTCATCTTTCGCTAAGGGCAACTCGAAAATGCCGATTCCTTTGGTTCTTCTACAAGAACCACATCCAAAGTCACAGTGTACTCTTACTATAGCTATGAACGAGCTGTAGATATCCCTATGAGGAGAACGACACGCAATGCTGTTGCAGAGTTCACATCTTTTCTCTGCAACTCATTTTATCAGTAAACGAAAATGCCAGTTTGAAGCACTCGTGTCACATTTTCTCATAGCGTAACACCCGGTATTTCTCAATTGAGAATGTGGGTAGTAGCCAAGTGAAATGATCGTCTGGGCCATCTGAGCCGTCTGATGCCGCTTATTTGAGGCATTGTCTGGAGCAGCCAATGAAATCGCTTTATGGAATAATCCACGTTCGCCCGCGAGTAACAAATTCCACAACCACGGCAGACCATTCGGAAGTGGGANCCTGTTTTGTCCTAACAGTGTGGACCGGCCAAACTGCCTCTGCTTTCCAAAATATTCTTCCACAGGATCTTGACAGAACCTTTCTGTCAGGACATACTCCATCCCCTCTGAAAGAAGAAACCTGGTGCACTCGATTGTAGACCTTGCAGAAATCTGGAAGCCTTCGTATGTCTGCCAAGAGAGGAACATCCTGGATCTTGCATTTTGGGTAAACTCACCCTCTCGGTTTTCAGTGCTCTCCTTCCAGCTCTGAAGATACTGCAGGAATTCCATCAAAAAGCCAAACCTATAAATATAAATTAAAAAATTACTTGTGTTCAAATGCATAGCAATTTATCAATACAGTCTGTGTTCTTAAACTTGAATGACAGACTTGTAGGCAAGAGTATTTACATGAAAATAATAGTGATAAAAATGTAATTTTGCTCTTAAAATCAAATTAACAGGTTATTATAAATTGAGTCTTATGATAGACAATTTGAGCACTAAACAACAAGTTATGATTATACCAATAGTTCAAGCAAGACTTACCATCAATCTTGAGTAGACCTGTAAGGTGCCAGGAATGGCTTTCGTTTTCGCTGGTGCTCAGTAAGACTTCTGACATTTAGGCAGACAAAGTCTTAAACCTGACTCTCTACGAAAGAAAAAGCTGTTTGTTTATATCTTAGTAGCTTGGCAACGCTACGCACATTACGCTCAGCAATCGTATCGTTCCATAGCAAAAGTTATCGAAAAATACTTACATATTTCAATATCTTCGGACAAAAAATGCTTTTCGAAAGTGTAGAGTTTGTCTTCATCTATCTGTCTTTTAAAATCTTTATCCATTTCCCTTGTTTTCTTGAGTACACCAAGCCACTCGTTGCGCCATCTCTTGTGATTTTCATCTTTCGCTAAGGGCAACTTGAAAATGCCGATTCCTTTGGTTCTTCTACAAGAACCACATCCAAAAACCGCACAATTTACACCAGGCATGTTAAAAGAGTATATTCATAGCCAAATCAAACTCTAAAAGTCGAGATATTTTCCAAAAATCGAGATAAAATACGAGCATTCGTGAGACTCACATACTAGCCGCCATCTTTGAATCAAGTGTGTGCACGTTCATAATCACATGACATACCAGAAAAGTAAACAAAGAGTTCCTCGTCTGAAGTTTGCCGGCCTTCATAATCAGTCCCCTCTACTAACTATGATCTGAACCGCCTTTTGGGTGTGTTGTTGAACAGTTTGCCCAATGTCATTTATTTCCCTTCACAGCATCAGGAAGGTATCTTTTAATGACCCAGGTAGTCCCCTTGTACTGTGGGTGCTTTGTGGTTGCTTTGTATGCATTGCGAAACCCACCGTGAGCAAACAGTTCTTTTTCTTCATTGAATTTGACAGTTATTATTATACAGCTCCTTTCCTTTAATTAATTTATGCGTTGTATCTCCTGCATCATGCTTCTTTCCTCTTTTTGGAGTCACTTTCTCTTCTAACTTTTTTCACGAGGCATCCGCCTTATTAGAATCTTGAAAGGTATCCTGCAAAGAACTCTGGGATTGTTTGGCAGCTTTTGGCCATGTGGCAGCACAGGTGGCCCAAGCTCTGTCACAGGCTCTTTCGTAGTGAATAATTAAAGAGTTCATGTATAGTGGTTTAGTTGGACTTGCTTTTGAGCTCCATAAATGTAAAGTTGTGTGAAATAATCAAAGAAATAAAGTCTTACCTTCGTAAAGAGTAGTCTGTGTTGTTCTCCTCGCGATTTGAGGCCGTTTTGATGTGTTTTAGCTTGACGCCCTAAATTACCGTGCATAAAATACGGGAAGGTTGGAAACTTCTGTTGACACATGCTCGCCAAAATCGCTCGAAAACAACGCTTAAATACTTTCCCTCGAATCGAAACTCAGCAGCACAAAAGCCAAATAGTTGCCCTTTAAGTTCACCGAAGAAAATCCCACAAAAGTCGGTTTGTCGAGCAACCAATCCAGCGAGAATTTCAAATTAATGGCCGTTCGGAATTTTGATTCGAGGGAAAGTATTTAAGTGTTTTTTTCGAGCGATTTTGGCGAGCATGTGTCAACAGAAGTTTCCGACCTTCCCGTATTTTATGCATGGTAATTTAGGGCGTCAAGCTAAAACACATCAAAATGGCCTCAAGTCGTGAGGAGAACAACACAGACCACTCTCTGAGAAGGTAAGACTTTATTTCTTTGATTATTTCACACAACTTTACATTTACAGAGCTCAAAAGCAAGTCCAACTAAACCACTATACAAACTCTTTAATAATCCACTGTGAAAGAGCCTGTGACAGAGCTTGGGCTACCTGTGGTGGCAGCATTCGGCCACGAACAAATTCTTTTTTTTCCAACAGCGAAAAAAAGAAAAAAAAAACTAGTGGCAGCGCTCGGCCGGGTAGTATTTAATTTTGATTTGATTTCATTTATCGTTGGTTTCATTTTATTTCTATTTTACATTTTACTTTCACTTGCTTTTATTTTAAAAAGAAAAATGAGAAATAAATCGAAATCAAAGAAAAAATAACAAAAATAATTCCTCTACATTTGAATATTTTTAATGGCAGTTCTTGGCTACCATACATATCACTTCCCAGTATCTTTATTCTTAGTACCGCTGATTCCTTTATTTTTTGTGGTGGACTCACCCTCACTCTACGCCTGTGGAAAATTGTCTCCCCCTGCCACATCCTAATATATGGGTGAAGAGGTGAATATTTAAAGGGAAATAAAAAAAATCATCGAAAAATCTGTCTCGAATGATTTTTTTGTTGTATTTGAGGTACCAGGATGAGGAGCACTCGATGAAATCGCTATTTCCAAATAATTTGTTTCATAAACACACTCTTTTGATCACTCCTCTAACCCATTTTGAAATGCTTCGTACCTATTTTTATTGAAAGTTTTCCCTCCCGAGACGCTAAATAGGGCCCTCCTCACGAGCGCAACATTGGAGAGCTCGGATTTCGTAATCGGAAATCTACCCGAGAGGACCTCCTTCTGACGGATTTCAGAGTATGCCGTTAATATAATTATTGTTCAGGAAAACAACCTTTAGCTCAGGGTTTCTCTCCTTTGCCGTCCGAAAGAATGGGAAAGCTGGATTCTAGAGCAAAACATGATCAGACGGTATGGCAGGCGATCATGTGATGATAAGCTTCCATGTCACTTGGTGGAGTAGAAAAGACGCTGTTACAAAGGGGCATTTCAAGTGCGTTAGCGTGCCGAAACTGCAGAAAATGTGTGTTAAGTTCCAAATCTAGCTAGCCCTTCTGTATAGGTTTCTTATAGAGCTTCGGATTCAACACTAGGAAAAAGGGAAATCCGAGCAAAAACGATAAAAATGTTCCATCAATAATGACTGGCCGTGGTGATCGTATTTCTTACGACTTTAAAATTCATAGTGTTGTTTTTCAGAGAATGGAAAATCCGAACGAGGATCAAGATCAGATAGCCACCTCATCTACTTTGATGGGCTCTTCTGGACGTCCTGTACCAGTGGAGGACATACACGTCCAGTTCGCAGAGGTAACAAGAAATCACAACCTTTCAAATTTAGTTATGCGTGACTTTTCGTAGTATTATAATCTCCTCAATAAACACAGTGAATCAATGTGATCTTAGCTTATCACTTCAACATTAGCCTCTCGAACTCAGCCCACTTCTCACCGATTTTTGTTTTCCTAACCACTTAACCACTTTCTTCATATCTTAACCAATTCTTCTTTCCACGACGAACGTTCGATTGTTTATTATTGTACACTTTCTTTGCTTCAAACATGTCTCCTTGGGACACAAAGACGTCCTACGAGACGTAGAAAATGCAGAATTTCGGGTATCAATTGCACATTTTATCAAAGATCTGAGGGTTGTCAGTTGACAAGCCTTGTTAGTTTGGTGGGTAGTAATGTTAAGTTACATGTGAACGTTAAATGTACAAAAATGCAGTACTGCTAAGATACGTGATATTTAAGAGCCGTTTGTTTGTTTGTTTGTTTGTTTTCATAAGCTCTTCAATGCAGCAACTGCAAGTGGATCGAACGAAAGAGCATCTGATCAAGCCTCAAACAGGTAAATTGCTTGGGAAGGATGATGGGTATCTTTTTGGGTGACATTTTGTTTCACTTAATGTAATATATTCGAAAGTATATGATGACAATTTCGAAAGTATATGATGACAATTTTTACTACACAACATGATTTCTCTATGTTGTGTGGTAAAAATTGATGTACACAGTTAAAGTAATTATTTCTCTCTCAAAAAATTATCATTATGTTAAAACAGTTGCATGGTCAGTTCACTTATTCGCTACAAACCCTTGTGAAATTGAAGTGAAATTGTATGGATTAACATTTTCTGCAGGTTGCAATTTTTGGGAAACTGTTTTTAATGTAATATGCAGCCAATGATGAAATTTATATCACTCAGAATTTTCTTGTTTAAAGATAATTTCTCATTCATATTTGTATTTGTATACTATGTAAGCTGAAAGCAAGACAAATTTTTTGGTTTTACTTAAAAAAATTAAATGTGTATTAAACCTGGCATACTTTAGTATTTCTCACAGTATTAAATTATTGCAGTATTAAACTTTCTGCTTTCTGTCTGGGTGGGAAAAAAAAGGGATTGAAATAAAATATTTCTTGAATGAAATGAGTCAGTGAACTATTGTTTAATCAAAATTTTGTTCAAAAGAAATTATGTCACACAAATTAAAAGTTTCATTGAGTTTACCAAATAAGATGATCTTTTTGTTTGCATCATATAATGGTGCATATGAGCAATGTATTTCACAACCTTATAACCATTTTATGCTAGTGTTTTTTCTTAATCAGACAGAGATGAAACAAATAAAGTAGGTCACAATCTTGTTGTTTGTTTTCAGCCTTGCAGATGATGTTATTGCTCCTCTTGCCACAGGTGTGATTGCTGATATCAACTGTGAAGTGGATGCTGAACCAAGACAACCTCCAGGTAATTCAAGCCAAAATTAATAGTAAACATATTGGATACCTGTTTTAAAAGGGTGGGTTCAAGCGTCTATTGAGGTCTAACTTACTTCCTTACTCCTCTGAGTATTTCTTTACACATAAGGCCTCAGCCAGAGAATGCTATTGATATCTGTTTATTGCCAGTCGGTCAAGCTGCTCTCATGTCCAGCCTCCATCCCTCATTTCCCTTTCTAAATTTCTCCTCCAATTTTCTTCTGAGTGGCAGACATTTGGGAAGGTGACTCTATGAAGGGCTGGCACTTTCTTTTTCACTTTTTCTATATTTTTATGTCACCTATACTATACCTTATAAGTTTGAGATTTCAAAAAAAAAAAAATTTTTGTTTAATTTATACTTCTGGCATGACATGTTAAAAATTACATATAGTTATTAGTAAATTTGGCTACTCCATTTTAACGTGAAAGAAGTTCAAGTTTTTTAAATTTTTTGGTTGACTCAAGGTAATTTAAAATTTGTGCCATTGTTATCTCACATGAAAGTGTAGTGAGATCGTCCAGGTGAGTGTAGTCCAGAAGGACTGTTGTTGGTGGTGGTGGCGACTGACATTTCGACAACCTGTGGGGAAGTCATCATCAGAGTCTTGACTCTAATGATGACTTCCGAACAACAGTCCTTCTCAGAACTACACTCACCTGGACGATCACACAACCCTTTCACATGTTACCCCTGGGTTCAAACCATGTACTATTATCTCACAGGTAGCTCTCAGCGTCAACCATCAACTAATGAAGATTTGACGTTAAACCTACAAGCTCAAGAAATAGAAAAGGTATTTAAAATATTGCAAGTGGTTGATAGTGATGTCTGAGATCAACATGATGAGGAAGAGTTTTATAAATGTGGAGGCCATGTGCAAGCAAACCTAAGATAAAGCCATTTTTAAGAGTGCATGCTTCTGTAGCTTAATTTGTAGGCACAAGTAGGCTATGGATTCTAGCTATCTGAATGTGATGATATTATGTAGTAAAGTTGCTTTCACTTACCTCAAAATTGAAACTTATGGTCAATTTTTATTCAGCAGTACAGAAATAAGCCCAATTAGGCAGTGTGAGTTTGATTACTATTATTGCCACATATGTACAATAGAATATAAGCTGATTAATAATGGTAATATAGGACTGAGTGGAGTATGATTCAGGCTGTAATCATACAAGTAATTTGGAAAATTTGTCATCCACGAAACAGGAGTCCAATTTGTTAATCACAGCTATGATTAAAGACAGAATTGGACAATGCAAAGTCCTGTTACCAATTAATGAAAACTATACCAAAATTTGACAAAGAAACTATTAAGACTTCAGTTTTACATTTTCTTCAAAAAAAGTTAACCCTGCAAAATGTAGCACAGCAGTGCTTGCACATGACACATACTGTCCACTTATACAGGTATGTGTCAAGTGTCCTTTTACACTGTCCAATTATAAGCGTATGATGGCTCGTGACAACAAGTGCCTCCGGCGATTAACATTTGGTCACAGGTGACTGAAAGAGTATTCCGGTTTCCCAGCCGGGCACTCGGCTTCTTGTGCAGCATTCGCCTCTATGGTTAATCTGGCGACAGACCGCTACATTTTTATTTGGTTGATTTGTAAGTGTTACTAGCAGAAAAGTATTATTTTAGGTGACACGTAGTCGAATTGTTCACTTTCAAAGATTTCAAAGTAACTGCCATGTTTCATTCCACATGATTTCACATGAACCCAAATAAGGGGCCAACCATTTAACTTTTGAGGGGGGGGTGGGTGATTTGTGGTCATCAAGAATTTTTTTTTCTAACAATGTACTGGGCAGGATATTTTTCCGTTCTAAATGCTTTTTCTGTTACATTTGGGCCGCATGCAATTTTTTTCTTCCAACAAGTACTTGCAGGAAATTTTTTTTCAAAATCACCCACCCACTTCTTTCCCCGTTAAATGGTCGGCCCCTAACAGTTATTGAAACAGTAGTTCCTGTCACTTCACACGTGATAAACGGAACGGATATTGCAAAAATATGCACTGAACACCACAATTTTCCTTGAGATGATGAGTGTCTGATTTATTTCAGTGTTTCGATGAATTTGGAAAGTGTAGTGAGTTTATCTTTATTTCAAACAAGATTCTTTCTACATGCAAGTTTCCGGCAAGCCAGCTTTGTTTGTAGGTGTTTATCAATCACTGTGATGAGGGAACTTCCGATTATTTTAGGAAGATTTAGTGAGAACTGAGCTTATAACGATTTCATATTTAGACTTGTTTACTTTCATTTGGTGTTTTCAAATGAAAGTTCTAAGCGGTTTTAAAATATCCAAAGAAATAAAATTGCCACTTTGAAAAAAATAACACATTGGTCAAGCTAACTGCTAAAAATAGCAACACACTCTGTTGCGTGGTGTGGAAGTTTTAATTTTCAGAAAAAGATTTAAAATGTAGCTATTCCACAATTCCACAGCTTTCCTGCAAGTGTTCGAAAAAAATAAAAAGGTTTCACTTTCAAAGCACCACGATTTGGTACAGATTATCTTTCCTGATGGTTCTCATGGCCAGACTAGCAACTCTATTTTTTAATTGTACTGCTAAATATCCAGTCAATTTTTTTGTCAACTTTCTGAAAATTTCAGCTCTCCACATATAGTCAGTTGCAATATGTATGGCTTTTTCATTTTGCCTTTCACTTCTTTTATGAAAAATGGACGAACAAGAAAATGTTTATGGAAAATCTCTTAATGCAGGAGGTATTTTATTTCGGATATTTTGCCTTTTGCTCTACATAAAATTGGCTTGCATCACAGATGACTCAAGCTGTAGAATGGTGATCTTAAAGATTGCGTAAACGCTGTAAAAAATATTAAGGAGATGGATTTATTATGTCAGAGTCAAACTTGTTCATGCAGAAAAGGAGCCAGAAGGTATCTGACAGTGTATTATATAATTATGGTAAACACCAAAAGTTAAATGCTTTCTACATGTAAACTGGTTTGATTAAATATTAACTGATTAAAACATGAAATAACGTAATTATAAATTATTAGTTGCTTGGTTAATTAGTTAATTAAGAAATTAATTAATATTTGGGCAACCAACTTGGAGGGCTGAGCACCCTAGCTGGAATGGTTGGAAGCCCAAAGGGCTCTCTGAAAATTTTCTTAGAGCACAGCCTTGGATAACCAATCAGATTAAAAAATTTTGTTAAAGTTTTGATATTTTCTGACATTGGACATTGTGTACCTTCAGCTTTTCAATTATATTGAATGCACAAATGCAGACCATGCTGCTCCCAGGTATTAAAATAGACTGATATTCAAATACAATATATTAACTGTAGAAGAATGTGTGATACTTGTTGCAACAAAATGGGAAATACAGTCATGTAATTATGATTTTTCTTTGAAAGACAGATTAGTTTTTACCATTCAAGATTTTATAAACTTTTC